TGGCCCAGTTTTCTGGAGCATAGTTCATCACAATATTGTATGCACGCTCGTCAATTAGTCTGATGTCGTTCATATAATCATTCCATTCTGCTCTAGTATATTTGTAATAGGCAGATTGCAGTAGATTACCCAAGATCTGAGAATCCTTTGACTTGAATCCCAAATCCTTCAACTTTGTTCTGAAGTTCTCGACCAGATGCAGCACACAGCGAGAGTGTATAGAATCGGGAAAAAATTCTCTAACTGCTTCTCTGATCCCTTTATCCGCATCTGAAATTATCACTAGCTTATGTGGAGGGTTGTATGGATCTGCCCTTTCATAGAGAATGGACCACAGACCTACAAAGAGTATTGGTTAACAGCCCTTAAAGTTAACTACGAAGGAGATAGAATTATAATAGCGATATTAGAACTAGATTTCTGAAGTGTTAGTTCTGTCAGGTGTCGTGTCAGTTCTAATATTTTGCCCGTTAGTTCTATTGTTCATTGTGTTAGTTCTATTATTTCTCTTGTTAGTTCTATTGTATGTTGTGTTAGTTCTATTATTTCTCTTATTAGTTCTATTGTCTGTTGTGTTAGTTCTGTTATTGATAGTGTTAGTTCTATTGTCTGTCTTGTTAGTTCTATTGTCTGTTTGTGTTTGTTCTGTTATTGATAGTGATAGTTCTATTTGTTCATTTTTAATAGCTGCATTTGATTGTGGTGTGTTAGTTCTATTTTTGTTGGCATCATCATGTATAATGTTGGAACTAACCTTGTAGGAACCACTTCCAGTTAACATTATTTTCTTGATCGCAGATACAATAGGCCAATGGAAATATCCCCTGATTGTCATCATATGGTACAGCGCTTAATAGTATACCTTTGAATCGATCTTTCAGAAAGGTTCCATCCAAAAATATAAGTGGTCTGCAACCTTGTAAAAAACCATTTATGCAGGCCGCATAGCAGATGAATATCCTTGTAAACCTACCCTCGTCTTGTTCAACATGAATGTAGCTTCCCGGATTTGTCTTCTTAACCTCGTCTACATACCTAGATAATTGAAGATTAAGCGTTAGTTTCAACATTATAAAGTTATGAGACTTATAGCGTCATATAAATGAAAACAACAGCAACTTGTGTATATATGATCTTCTGATTTACCATCTCAATTGATCGTAGGACTCATAAGCATCACCATATAATCGCTCTTGAGCTCTTTCTTTACCCCACCAAATCTTACTATATTCAACCCTAATCCCATATGAACTTAGAAACTCCTTCTGAACGTCAATAGGTCGTATATCCGGACGTACCTTCAACGTGGGTTGTAATTGGGTAGCAATGAAATGACGAGAGGCTTTAGATTGACCTGCATTATTGGCATGTTGTCCACAGTTGTGAATGTCCACAAACCTTTTTATTTCAAGTCTATTATCATTTTTCGGCGGAGAGGCAAATAACATCCATGGGCAATTTTTGGCTACCTTAAACCGGCAAAAAACTCGAATACGCTTTGGTTCATTCTTCACAAACTCATATTCGAATTTTTTGGCCATGGAGTAGTATAGCAAGGCCAATCTAAACTCCTTCGCACTTTCAAAACGTTGCCCCTACCCAGTTAACGCAGTGTGCCACCAAGCAGGAATCCTCTCAGATCTGCTAATCATGTCATCAATCATCAT